ACTTATCATAACAGCTCAACATTATATACATTGCTATCGTTATCAATTTTTATTTAACTATACCTATTACCAATGGAAAACTTTTTAAGCTCTGAAATTTGTTTCTCTTACATCGGCCAGTCTTCCTCCGAAACAAACAAACACAATTTTCTTTTAGAAAACGTTTCGCTTCTCATCCAAGAAGCTTCATCAGCTCTTCTTCAGAGCTGAAAAACCAGCTCCAGGTTTCCTACAAATGGATGCAAGTCAGCCTCTTTCCCCTAACAATCTGGGTCCTCATTTTACCCACCTCGGAAAGATGAAACGCTGAGTCAACTTTGAGTCACGATTGAACTGCTGGCAGCGGGCAGTCAGCAGAATTAGCTTCAGTACTGCATTCTGACCAGTGTGCCACCATTTTAACAAGCCTGCCCACTGCCAGGAGTTCGATCCTGACTGGCTCAATGTTGACTCAGCCTTCTATCCTTCCGAGGTGAGTAAAATGAGGACCCAGATTGTTGGGGGCAAGAGGCTGACTCTGCAAACCGCTTAGAGGGGGCTGGAAAAGCACTACGAAGCGGTATATAAGCACGGTAAATGCTATTGCCATTGCCAATTGATCTGCATTCAAAGATTTATTTTTTTCCCTGCCAAGATTCAGCCGGAGTTTCATGTCTTCTAATGTTGTTTTAGTCAAAAGGTCTCGTCTTGATCCACTCCACCCACTCAGATCTGCAGAATCTCATTTCACAGTCAATTAAGGGATGGGAAAAGTACGAAAACTCCCCCTGCTTCAATTCTATTAGTCTTGCCCTTTCCTATTTGAAGAACTGTAGCCTATTTCTTACGTGACTGGGTTTACACATCACCCTCATTCGTAACGTGAATTTCGGCTTAATGGGTTAAATAAAAGCCAGCCGCCTGCCCACCCTAAAGATTAGTGTGCATTCAAATGCACGATTTACACAATAGCAGGAAAACACGGCTTTAAATGATCATCCTAACTGAAAATGCAGAAGGATGGATTGAAGAAATTGCCACGTACAAGGCAGTGTCATACTATCTTATCCAGTGATGATTGTTTTAAATCAGGAGTTGGGTTTTTTCTGAAATTTCTTTTTGTTATCTGGCTTTCCATCGTGAGCCAAGCAAGAGCGGGGAGAAGATATTCATTCAATCCCGGATTATACAGCTACAGCAATGTGACATCATTTAGGTCAAGGGCATAAACTCTTATTAATATTGTCTGCGCAAGTTTCAAAAACAATGAGCTTTGCACGGAGTGATAAACCCGGAATTTAAATTGGATCCGTCGCTTCCAAAGTTATTGAACGGCAGCTGGGCCGATGGGCAAAATCATTTTTTTTTATTGCATTTATCATCCATGCCTATTGGCAAAAAGAAAGCATTGCAAATCCTAACCACCGTTGTGTTGAGCAACACTTTGCAACTCCACAATTTTTCTGGAATTGGGCCCGAATGGGAAAAGCACAAATACCCACAGAAAATTAAGGTATCTTGATCGTCCCCTAAAAGCCAAGCCGGATTCACCTGAAATCACTATCTCTTGAGATCCAGCGTGGGGGTTGATCTGGCCAAAAGGAACTCACTTCATTTTCATAAACCATCTTCTCACCAACAACCTGCAAAAAGGGTCCAAATAAGTCCTCAGGTTACAACCTTCAAAGTTACAGTGGCACTGAAAAAGTGACTTATGACCGTTTTTCACACTTACGTCCATTGCAACACCCATCATCATAATTTAACGACCCTTTAATCCCTGAATGGAGCTAGCAGGGTGTTTACTGGCCAAACACCCTTCCTGTCACCAATGCGGAGTTATATTCGGCAGAGAAAGAAATATCTGCTTCTACCTAGGATCAAACTCACAGCCTCCTAATTGTGAGGTGAGAGCGCCATCTCTAGGCCACCGCGCCACTCTGCAACACCCTTGTGGTCAAGTGAGCAAAATTCAGACACTTGCCAACTGATTTTTTACGACGGTTGCAATATCCTGGGGTCATGGGATTCCCCTTTTGCCAAATCAACATGGGAAAGCCAGATTCACTTAAGAACCGTGCTACTAACTTAACAACGGTGGCAAGGAAGGCAAAATGCACTTTTAACAGCTGTCTCGCTTAGCAACAAACCCCTGGGGCTCAATTGCGGTCCTAATTCAAGGACAGGTTGCATCGGTGAAGCAGGGGAAACCCACCGGGTCCATCGGAAGGAGGAACTCACCTTCAGTGTGGTCCCGCAATCGTTCAGCGGCACACGGAAGTGGACTCGGTCTCTCGAAGCCGACCAGGAGATGGGTCCACAGCTTGGGTCTCTGAGCCTGAGGGTATCCAGGTTCAAGTCCGGTTTCGTACTGCTGCTCGCTATCTCGAAATCCATGTGTCCGTCTTGAGTGCAAATGGTGACTGTAAGGAAGTTGGGGATCAGGTCACATACCATGGGAAGCCACAATGAATGCAACTGAAGAGGAACCTCTGTCGCTTAGGGTGGAATCGGGAAGTTTCTGGTCCTCTTCGAGGGAGAAGTTGGTCAGTTGGTGGCAGACATTTCATTACCCAACTAAGGAACATCAACAATGTCTGTCTGATTTTGGCCCCCCCTTTTTTAGTACAGTTAGGCGTCCCTTAGTGACATTCAACGTTATGATGGATTCCCCACTTATGACCTATTGAACATATTTTACCACAGAGAGTTCTCACCATGACCATTTGAAGTTATGATGGATTCCCCAAAGATACTTATGACCTATTGAACATATTTTACCACAGAGAGTTCTCAGTTAGTGACCATTTGAAGTTATGATGGATTCCCCAAAGATACTTATGACCTATTGAACATATTTTACCACAGATAGTTCTCAGTTAGTGACCATTTGAAGTTATGATGGATTCCCCAAAGATACTTATGACCTATTGAACATATTTTACCACAGAGAGTTCTCAGTTAGTGACCATTTGAAGTTATGATGGATTCCCCAAAGATACTTATGACCTATTGAACATATTTTACCACAGAGAGTTCTCAGTTAGTGACCATTTGAAGTTATGATGGATTCCCCAAAGATACTTATGACCTATTGAACATATTTTACCACAGAGAGTTCTCAGTTAGATTG